TTTTTTTTATCTTTGTAGGATTAGTGAATGTTCCATCGTGAAGGCATAGCACTCACCATCCTGTTGACGCGTTACCTTGAATCTTTCGCCTATCCATGTAAAGTCTCTCAAGCGTGTAGTCGGTCTCTTCTGATCCAACCTATAAAAAGGTAAGTAGGACGAGATCTCTCTTTGAAGTTTCGACAAAATTTTCACTATTACCTCCACCTCTTTTTTGCTTACAATCATTCATATACATCAATAAGTTTTGTTTTGTTCTATGAACCTCCAGCTGCTCAAGAAAAGGATTTTGTCGAGATTTTCGCTAGTTGAATTTTCAATTCTGCGACTTGAACTTTTAATTGTTTGCAGTTGGGTTGTGAAAGAAAAATATCAGGTACACAACCAAAGCTCGATCTCACTCGGGAAAAGGAGCTCGACACTCTTCTTCAGATCCATTTCGGCTATAAGTTCTAGGAAAGCTAGAAAGTGTAATGGTGCAACACAAACTACGAACCCGGAATTTGAAATAGTGATTCCACCAGTATCCTTTGGGATTTTTTGAGTTCTGTGTTCTGTCGCCTCTCATTTCCACTCTCAGAGTTACACTGGGGTCCTTGTAAGTGAGCTGATGAAGAACCTCGTTACCCAGCCAGAATGTGGTGTTCTGGATAGTAAATGATTGGTTGCTGCTACGAAAAGCTCACTTTAATTTGTGCATCATTTTAACTTACCGGTCCCAATTTTCCAAATCCATTTCTGTACTCGGCCCAGGTATGGTCCCAGAACGGATCACTGTCATTTACTCTTCTGCAATGCAGACATTAATAGACCTGGGCTTCGCTCTAACCTCTCCGAACAAAAGTTTCTAAAATTTCCGATCTTAGTTAGTGACAAATTTGGAAAGAAAGATGTGTTCATAAGGGAACTGATAAATACTTAAAAGTGTAAATTTCGTGGTGGCGTGAAAAACTCGATAATCTTTCCCTCACACCTACGCAAAAACCCAAGTTTGCCCCGTGTCTTCCCTTTTGAATTATGGCCCTAACTACCGTTTCTGTTTAGTTTGGCAGTATCAGACACCTGATTCTTGATTAGATTCTTGGTTAAGACTGAAGTGTTCATTCGAACCTTTGGAACACGAGCCATCCGCCTCCCGCCGTAGTCATGTCGCAGAAGACATTGTAAGGCTTATCGTTGACCACGATGCTGTACACACCATCACTGGAAAATGCAATGAGTCTTTCTCACTGTAGAAGTTAGAGCCGTAGTTCCGCATCTTTCATCTTTCAACTTACTCTCTATAGCCAGCTTTGTACCAGTCAGCACAGTCGCTCATCACCATACTTGTTTCGCAGACAAAACATCTGGCCTTAGTGCAGTCTCCAGTACCCCAATTACCTGCAATACGTGGAATCGAACAAGCTTTCGGGGTCAGATACTTTGAAGAAAGGTGAATTTTGAATTTGTCAAACATTTCAAAATGAGAAGCTTAGGCTCTCACCTTTCTCGAAAGATGAATATATGCACTGATAGGGTGAGGGTGATTGTTCTGAAGTACAGTTCATTGATCAGTAAAGTGTGTAAAGGCAAAGTGTCTATCGCAGCAATAAGAACTCACTTTTTCCAACCTTTCTGAAGTCAAAAGGGGAATCATCCTTCCATGTACATTTTCCGTGCCTGCATTGTCCAGCGGTCCAATAAGACGTGCATTTCTTATCGCCGTTGAGTGCTAAATAAAAAAGTCTTGACTACTTGTGTCGCAAAAGCTGTCTAGAACCTCGCATTCTGAATGTGGTGTTCAGAATATGACTTGAGGTGTCATAATTTCTGAACCAGCATCCTTTTTTTTGTTCACAAATACGAATAAAGCTATACTTACGCACCTTGTAATTGTAGTTTGCTTAGTTGCTTTCATGCAGTCTAAAGCCATGTTCAGGGCCTCTGAAGAGTGCAATAAAGCGTTTCTCAAAGATGGGCTTCTCGCAGTGTGGGCAGGTGTGAAAGTGTGCGTTGGACATTATTTATCGTGTGGAGGTAGTCTTACAGCCGCTGATAAAATTGAGCGCCGGTAAGTTCCCGCGTGTGAGCATTCAATAAGTGAGCATAGGTACAAAAGCTGTCTGCTACCTTGGACAGATTTGGAAAGCAGAGCGCTTACCATGGGACAGGAAAATCCATCTGAATTATTTCGTTTCACCTTCACCGCCTAAAGATTCTGCCATTTTCGCAATTCTGAAAGCAGGACAAAAACATTCAAGAAAAGATAAATTTGAAAGGCTAGAGTAACTTCGAAGTTAAGGCAGAATCTCTGGGTTAGGGTAAGGTTAGTTGTTTATGTATGAGAAACTTGACATTGCGACAATACCATGGGTGGATTAAGAGCACCTGCAGAATTTATGCGGTGATTTTAGATGTTATCTGAAGCTTTCATGCCGTAAAATGCAACAGAACCTGAGCATTCTCTCCATATGAGTGATGAGACTTTGCAGTACATCTCTATTGCATTTACCTTTAATCGCAGCGATGTCTTTCTGATTATGTATGGACGTGAGGTGGCCACTTCGTGATTCACAGTATGCCTCTGACATTTCCCAGCTCCTGCAATAAACGCCTCTCAAGAAGAAAATCTTACACCAAGTAGCTAGTTGAAGTGCCTGATGAATGATTTGAATTATGTGGCAATGCATCTCAGAGGGATACTAATTCAGAAATAAGAAAGAAATTGCTCTAATCTATTAAGTGCGAGTCAATGAGTCTATTTACTGCAGTGAATAGCACAGTATATAGGAGGTTTTAAGGATCATTTGCTTCTGAGAATATATGATGATGCCTTAGGATTTAGAAAGAAACCCTCCCCACTCATTGGGCATCACTTGTTGACCTGGTGCAGTAGGACAACTTCCTAGCAGCCCTCCATCAGAGGATAAGGAAATAGGAAACAAGGATCAACCTTGAGACACAGATGTCTTTCTTGCAAGCTACACTGAACCTAAAGTTCTCTCACCATACCTATGAATTTACGCTATGCATACATGCGTTGTAAACGAAAATGGACAATGGTATAATAATAAACCGCGACATGAAGTGTAAACGAAGTAAGTGTCAAAAGTCATTCTTTGAAGCACTCAAGCGTTTTGACTCTTACGAGGGCACTCCTGATAACTTCAACGAATTTCGAAGGAACGCAAGTCTAACTAACCTCTCATCAGGGCCCTTGTGAATGCAGTGGTTGTGGCTGTTCAGTTGAACACAGGTGATGCCGGAGACGGCGACTGTCATGAGAAGGCCAAGAAACAGCTGCAGAAGTCGTTGCATCGTGGCGGAAGTGCGATCGCGTGAACGGGTAGTATGGAGTATGGTACCCATCAATTCCTACCTGTGCGGTCAAAAAAAAAACCAGTAAGACCTGGACTTCAACAAAACTTTAAAGAAGAAGAGGGTAGATTTTCACAAATACAATAAGTAAAATTTTCACAAGCAGCTAAATTGTAGAGGAATTCATAATTGATGATGCTCTCGTGAAAGCAAATCCTTTAAATAGGCTCCCTTGTTTATCTAACTTCCTCCAACATTACAGCGACGTCAATATGTATGTGGGAGGACTTCTTTTTCCTATAATATGTTTGAGACAAATATTGAAAGAGCTACGGGCAGCACGAAACTTTCTTCTAACGAGGAATGGCTTTTTGGTACGTAATTGCGCCGCCTGGAGGAAAATCTTGAGAAATAAGAGCAGAGCCAACACACTGCCTCAAGTTCATACTTTTCTTCTTTGAGAGTAGGAATCCGAAGAAGATTACATGTATTCTGTAAAAAAAGCGGCCCCCCTAATCCTCTTCAGATTAGGCGTGTTGGTAAGAACATCCAATCGTAATGATGAAGGACGTCTCTAAGCTTCAATATAGTGGAATATCGCTTCCCTCTCACTTCTTCTTCACTTGAACAATAGCTTTCTACAGTAATACAAGAAATCACTCTGAGGTCTTACATATAAACTGTGCGCATTCCTAGCTGTCGTTATCAAATACTCGATGAGAATATGCATGCGCTCGCCATCATCCTCCATGATTACATGTGGATACTTAGAATACCCTACTCTTTCTTCAGAATCTCTATTTTGAATTATCTGCAGTGACTTGCTTCCGAAATGTTCGAGCAAATGTGAAATTGCGGAGCAAGTTAAGCTTCACCCACTCGTCTCGAAAGCCAGACTTGAGTTGTCATAAGAAAACATGAATAGAGAAAATGGCTCCAGTTTTCATACTGCCGGAAAATTTTTTCATCAATAACTTTCATCTCCATCGTATAAAATACCATCTTACCACCTTAGATACATTGAAAAGGATTTCGGCTGATTCACTATAACTGGGAGTCCCAAAAGTTTTGAGAAAATTTTGGTTATGTATTTCGCAACCATGTTGCACAAGAAAGCGCCGAAGCAGAGCCAGGGAAGAAAGGCAGGAAAAGGGCACTCTTGGTAGATCGTCAAAACAATGGAACAGTATTGCAAATCATCTTTGGAAGTGAGTTATCATCCTTTGAATTATGTCCGGTCTACACGCCTTCTGCTTCATTACTACCGATATGGTCACTCCGCCACTCAAGACTGGAGTGGATTGCAGTCAACGATGTGCAGTACTGCACCTTCTCTCGACACCTGCTATAGGCGGAACGGTCGCTTCTTCAGAAGATTCACTTCGAAAAAGCGCCGCGGAGCGGACGTCCACGTTCCACCATGACCGACATTGTCTTAGTCTCCGTCTAAAGCAATCCTTCTCAAAGCTTGGGAGAAATGGAGAGGACGACTTCTGCTCCCTGTTCCACCATCCACGACATCCTGTGCAGACGTCGCTTTCGCGCAGCACTTCCTGTAGTTATACCCCACATCCTGACTGAGAATGAGCGTTATGTCGATGTGTGTCGGAGCTGAGAGCGTCAAGCTACTCGACCGCAAGCGAACGGTGTTTTGGTCGAGCTTCATTACGCTCAGGATGAGAAGTGAATTTCTTATGAAAATACACAGAGGAAATGCAGTGGCTAACAATCGACATACAGTAGCGTGGAGCTGGAGCCATTTTCTCTATTCATGTTTTCTTATGACAACTCAAGTCTGGCTTTCGAGACGAGTGGGTGAAGCTTAACTTGCTTCTCACATCTCATATTGGCTCGAACGATTCGGAAGCAAGTTACTGCAGATAATCAAAATCAAATTCAAATCAACCAAATTAGAATCGAAGGATGGAATAGGGTATTCGAAGTATGCACACGTAATCATAGAGGATGATGGCGAGCGTCTGCATAATCTCATTGACTATTTGATGACGACAGGAAAGAATGCACACAGTGCATGTGATACGACTTCAGGTTGACTTCTTGTATTACTGTAGAAAAATACTGTTCAAGTGTAGGAAAAGTGAGAGGGAGGCGATATTATACTATATTGATGCTCAGAGAAGTCTGATCTTCTTGTCAACATGTCTAAAGAGGTTTCGCATTTTTATGACAGAATACATGTGTACTTCTTTGAGTCCTCCTCTCGAAGGAGAAAAACATGAACTTGAAGCAATGTGTTGGCACTGCTCTCTTCTCAGGATTTTCCTCCCAGATGGCGCAATTATGGACCAAAGAGCCATTCCTCGTTATGAGCAAGTTTCGTGCTGCCTGTAGCCCTCTCGATGTTTGTTTCATACGTCAAATGTATTGTAGGAAAAAGGAGACTTCTCATGTCGCTGTAATGGTTGGAGGGGAATTGAATAAACAAGGGGGCCTATTTAAAGGATTTGCTTTCACAAGAGCATCATCAATTGTGTATTCCTCTACAATTTCAGCTATTTGTGAGAATTTTACTTAATGTACTTGTGAAAATATACTCTCTACTTCTTGAAGGTTAAGTCTTACTATGCTTTTTGACTGCACAGGTAGAGATTGATGGGTACCATACTCCATACTACCCATTCGCGTGGTTGCACATCCGCCCCTATGGAACGACTTCTGCAGCTGTTTCTTAGCCTCCTAACAATAGTCGTCGTCTCCGGCATCACCTGTGTTCAACTGAACAGCCGCAACCACTGCATTCACAAGGGCCCTGATGAAAGGTTAGTTAGACTTACGTTACTTCAAAATTCACTGAAGGTATACCGATTGAACTCGCAAGAGACAAAACGCCTGAGTGTTTCAAAGAGTGGATTTTGACACTTGCTTCGTCTATAGTTCATGTCACCAGTTTATCACCATTTTCGCTTACAACGCATATAGGCGGTTGACCCCATCTCCTCTTTCCTCCCCCTCTGATGGAGTGCTGGTAGGGAGTTGCCCTACTGTATCAAGTCAACAACGTGATGTCCATTGGAAGGGGACGGTTTATTTTTAGATCCTAGGCATCATCAGATATTCTCAGAAGCAAATGATCCTTAAAACCTCCTATATGCTGTATTATTCACTACTGCTTGAATTCGCACTGTAGTAAATTAAAACGACTTAATAGAGTGAAACAATTTTATGTCTGACTTCTGATCTAATAGCCCTCTGAGATGCACTGCAACATAAGTCAAATCATTCATCAGGCACTTCAACTAGCTTCTTGGTCAAAGTTTCTACTAGAAACGTTTATTGCAGGAGCTGGGAAATGTCAGAGGCATACTGTGAATCACG